CCCAGTTTTTATAAAACCACATAAACATGTAAATAGTTTTGTAATAATACAAGAAGAAATTATATATTTCTAAGAAAATTAAAATTGTGCTTTATATCCACTGCAGACGAAAAGGCAAACTTTAATGTTTTCGGCAACATTCCCTGAAGACATCCAACATTTGGCTGGTCGTTTCTTAAATAATTATCTATTTGTGGCGGTTGGTATCGTCGGAGGCGCTAGTACTGACGTCGAACAAATCTTCATTGAAGTCACTAAATATGAAAAACGGAACAGTCTAAAACAACTCATTGAGGAAAATGGTGAGAAAATATTTTAATAATATAGTCCATAATTCCAGAAAAAGTGAATTGTTGTTGTTCTTTCTTATTTTCATGTCATCTTATAAAACAATCATTACAGATGGTAAAAGAATCTTGGTATTTGTCGAAACAAAACGTAATGCAGACTTCATAGCAGCCATGTTGTCGGAACAGCAATTGCTCACATCTTCAATTCACGGCGATCGCATGCAACGTGAGCGCGAGGAAGCGTTACAGAATTTTAAGAGTGGGAAACACTGTATCTTGGTTGCAACAGCTGTAGCTGCACGTGGTTTAGGTAAACATATTTAATTTTTATATTGTTTTTTTTTTGTTATTATAATGTTTACAATGCCTAGTTCAATTCCAATCTGCCAGGAAAACCGAAAATCGTAAAGATTAATGTACTATCATTTTTGTATATTTTTTTATATAATAATGGTAATAATAGACGTTTATTCCGCCTAAGCAATAAAACAACTTTTGATGTACATACATGCAATTTTTGTCACTAGTTAAACTTTGAACAACTTTAATTAAATCAATGAAAATGAAAACTAAATATCATAGTACTAATTTATACCGCACTATCGACTGTCAAGCACTGTAAACACCGGTTATTTTTAAAAGAATGCTCAGTTATTAGCATTAATAATTGAGCATTAATATCTGAAAATATTAATTTCAATGAACATTTAAAAAACTGTTCATTGAAATTAATATTTTATTACTTCAAGGGGGGTGGACGCGCTCACGGCCCACCTGGTGTTAAGTGGTTATGGGCCATTGGTGGTATTCTAAGCTTAAAGGAGGTGGTGGAGAATGCAAAAATTTTTAATATCTACTTTATTTTAAAATTTATCCTATTTTTTTCTCACAAGAAGTTGACGGAGTTACTTAATAATTTTTTTTATTTTCAGACATTAAAAATGTAGACATTGTAGTGAATTATGACCTCCCAAAAAGCATTGATGAGTATGTGCACCGAATAGGGCGTACTGGTCGCGTAGGAAACAGAGGAAAAGCCGTATCGTTTTATGATTCTGATCAGGTAATTAAATTATAATAAATTGAATGATTCAGTTGAGAAAATCTGATTTAAATACAATGTTTATTCGATGAACACTGATAATAAAATACACTCAATAAATTAGAACATAAACATTAATCATTTTTTTACACTGTATAATTCGTACAATAGCTTCTATTTATATTTATAACAAATAAAACTTCTCTTTTTATTTCAGGATTTAGCCCTAGTGGCTGATCTTTCAAAAATACTTCGACAGGCAGATCAATCTGTCCCAGACTTCTTAAAGGGAGGTGGCACTGCTACATTCAAGGGCAATAAATATGGAGGCAGTGATGTTAGAGTAAGTAATATGAGCTAATGGGGGGAATATGTGAATTTCAAAAATTACAAATAATCACTAGATTAAACAATTGGATGTTATTAATAACTGGTATAGCTATTTCTACATTGCACCAAATTGATACGGTTATTTTTTAAAAGAACTTTAACACCTATATTTTGTATTTCTTTATCGAATTATTCAATGAAATTTAGTTGTTCCATGCAAATTGATTAGTAAAAAATTAGCATCTATCTGTGCAGTAATTCTTATCGATTTTCCAAACAATTCTCAAGGTTCTCAACTATTTTTTGTTAATGCTTCCAAAAGGGATTAACATACTACAATAATGAGGTACTTAAAAATATAAAAATAAATGTTAAATCAATATGATTAGAAATAGTTCTAAGTACAAAATTTTTAATCTATTTCAGAATTTCAACAATGCCAACACAGCTGTAGTAGATCAAGGGCAGGAACCTGAAGAAGAATGGTAGATGTACAATGTACAAAAATGACTTTGAATTGATTATCACTATAATTATACGTAAATGTGACTGTTAGTGATTTTTTTGCATTACATCTACGTACATACAACAGGAGTGAATGCGCGTTCAGAACATTGGTGCTTATGCTAGTAAACTAAAAGACATCTTTATTCGTTGCTACGACGAAGTAAAATTATATTATACATGGCCTGGTGTACAAAGACTGTAATTCATTTTCAAGTTATTTTTTTTTAGAAATAAGAATATTTTCTAAGATTAAATTGCCTTCAGGCAACTGCAGCTTGCTCAACTTTAACGCGCAATAACCCCGATATTTCGAATTACTTTATTCCGCTGTACTTACGTTTATTATTTTTACACTATTAGAAGAGGTGTTTTTTTTTTTTATTTTACATATTAAATAGTGCCAATAAAGAATTTAACACGAAACATTATAGTGCATAGAATGACATGCGATTCTGTGATGTTCAAGTGAAAGTTGCTCACTTAAAAGTTTAACAAAGTTGCTCTATTATCTATAGTTTTCAGTTATTCATATTTTTGTTTTAATTCTATTTTGTTTCGTTTGAATCTCTTGAGAAGACCTCATAAATATATCAATTATGTTTATCCCTGTACAAAATTGACTAACTGAAATGTAGTATAAAACTATAATCTGTGATGATTATTATAAGTAGAAATAAGTTTGCAGTTTGAATTACTTCTACCATCATGCCATAGATATTTAGTTCAATACCAGTTCGTTGAAGTGATCAACAAAACATTAAAGAGTGATTTGAATACTAAGTTAGGGTTGTTCACTATGTACGTTTTCAACTTTTTTTTGAGTTTAGTTGTTATACTCATTATGTTATAAGATGTTACTTTTGAATAATAAGGTGTGACGAAATAAGTGTTTTATTTGCCCATTATAAATACGCCAGATCTTAACGCACGGGAATGATCAACTTAGTGTTTCATCTCTGGTTCAGTTTCCAAATAAATGCTGGACAATGAAAAGTGATAGTGCTCTTATAAAGCAACATGCTTCACCCATCTTAAGGATCCGTTCACACAGACTGGCTCGGAGATGAGAGCAAATTTTTATCACGTTGGAAGTTTATTTTTGCATTTGTGCACTTTTTTGTTATAAAGAATACTTGAACGCGCTGCGTGTGAAATAATAAGAGGAGCCGACCGGCTCTGATTGCGAGCGTATCCGCTTTCAGATCTCTTCCACCCGGACTAGGTATGTGAAATAGTTGGCGGATCCGCTCCGGCCAATTCCAATGTATACGATGCGGTCTTTGTGAAAAGAAAAAAACGGGCCGATGCTCTCCGAGCCGGTCTGTGTGAACGGACCCTAACCCATACAGTTGTAATTAACTATCAATGAAATAGAAGCATTGTACGACTGAACGCGAACTTTTCTTCACTAACCATTCGCCGGTAGCCTAAGGGGCTATTTCAGCTACGCTGTGACTGGTAGATGAGCTCACAGGGCTCAGCCTGAGAGAATGTGCTAACATTGACCTTTGCGAGAGTAGTGCTTCGTAGATTCTACGACCGAATCGGAATCGCAACCCCCTAAGCCGCAAGGCAAGACAGTTCCTTTCGAGGTAACAACCGCAAGGATTTTGCAAAATTGAAATTCCGTAGATTGTTTCTTGGGTATCAATAAAAAAAGATCGCTTAGACAGAACTTTATTGTGACTAAACAGAACATCACATTCGAGTTTTACAGATAAATATAAAATACTTTTTTTTTTACCTACCCATTCCAGCTACGCCAGAGCGGGAAAATACTCCTGATTCGAATTAAATCTATTGATCCATTATTATTCTTTAAGGATATATTTAAACAAGTTGCTCCAATTAAAACTACGAAATTGTCTAAAAATGTCCGAGTTGATTATTGAGTCTGAATGAATTGTCATCAGAGTGCATTATTGCGCATAAAATCATAACATAACAAGGTTCGTCTTATTGTTTTTTTAACTTGATATTTTATAAAGTGACTAACAATCCATTCATAAATTTTCATACTTATACGCCACGGCAAAGTACGCGATTTTTTTTTTCATGAGATTTTATGATACAATTTTATAAAAGTACATCGCACGCTAGCAGTTTTTCGGAATAATACTTATCACAGAGTTTTCTTTTATTTGATGTTGTATATAAAATAAAAGTAAAAAATATTGCACAGGAAATTGCTGTCGCTTTTTCTGTTAATTTATCACAAAGAATTCTGAATGTATGCATGTATACAAAATTACTGACTTGGCTACGAGTTTCCTTAATTATAAACGTATATTTTTCTGGTAACTTCTAAACCCCTACCTTCCAATATTTTTATAAAATCTTTAAAGTCAGTTTTGGTGAGGATGCAATGAAAAATCTATATGATTCTATAAACCCTTTGGGATTACAACTCTTTTTAATAAGATAACTTATGTGTGCAACATTTAATTATATTTAATGTACCTAGTTTCTTAAAAGTATAATTTAAAAAATATATCACAATTATTTACGACCCCGTAATAATTAAGTACCTACCTACCTAAATAATTAGATTACCTATAAAACTTCTGCTATAAGCTACAAATTTTTGTTCAAATACAAAAATTAAGATCATTCGTTTGATTAAGAACCGAAGTCCAAAATTTGAAATTAGTTAAATATATTTTAATGTATATCGACGCTTGAAATGCAAATGTGACTAAGCGACAATAACTGCTTTGTACATACATGATAAGCAATAACCATATACGATGCGCAAAAAAAAAAATATTTCTAGGTTTATTAAAATCATTTCAATCCTACAGCTAAATTCGTTAAAATATAATTTTTTTCAGGTATTTCAACTTTAAATTAGTCTACTGTAAAGTTCACGCATTGTCGCTTAGTCACGTTTGCCTTTCAAGCGTCGATATTTAAAATTCATTCTCTAGATTCTCTAGACAGTATGTAAAAATATCTTGTGGCCAGTAGGTGAAATAGTTACCCTTCCCGCACTATACCTTCCGGAATATCCAGTCTGTTAGGTACAGTTATCAATAAAAAAATATTGTAGATATTTATAGGCAATTTATAAACAATATACTCTGCAAGTGAAAAATCAAATTACGCACGTTTTTCTAATCTAACCCAACTATATCACTTTTCAATTGTGACATTATGCACAATATGTGGGTTTTAGTAATGTAAGGCACATTTATTTAAAAAGGTTTTTACGTATTTTATGCAATCGTTGGTGAATCTTGCAACCTCTCATAGGGCGTTGACACATTCCTTCTGAAATATTGCACTAATCTGTAAAAAGAAAACAATAATGCATTAATGTTAAAGATAATATTGATCAGGCAACATGATTTAAAAAATAACATAATAAAATTTGCTTTTACCTATCTTTCGAGATGCCAATAGTCGTGTCAGAATTAGATATAGGTACTTTCAAAACCAGTATTTGCCAGTGGCCAAGGTTATTTTTTTTAGAATTAAACCAAAACAAAAAATATTAGCCTTAGACAAGCGTGACGCATACGGATTTATCTAGCTTCATAACACAGACTTGTACAGGCAAGTAAGTAGATGTGACTATTCCACCTTTACTGTGTTTTCTACATTTCGGTCAAAAAGTGTCGGACAGACAGACGGACAACAAAGTAATCTCATAGAGGTTCAATTTTCTTTTTCAGGACCGTAACCTAAAATATGCACATTAATTTCAAAAACCCATCGAGATAATAAGATGCTAACAGTAACATTAAAGTGTACATTGTAACATTGTTTTGTGGACAACTACAATTATTATGAATTGTTATTAAAGAAGTCTATATTTATTATTAACTAGCTGAGCCGGCAGACTTCGTAGCGCCTCAATCGATAAATAAAAGACCTAAACTTTTATATAAAATAAACTTAAAACAAACAAAAGGAGTCCGTTAGACAGGGAACACATCAAAGGAAAAACAAAATTGTTATTTTTTTTTAATTCCGAGCATTTTCATATTTATCTTTACCTTTTAAACCTTCTCTGGAGTTCCACAAATAATTCAAGACCAAAATTAGCCAAGTCGGTCTCACCGTTCTCGAGATTTAGCGAGACTAACGAACAGCAATTCATTTTTATATATATAGAAGAAGAAGAAGAAGAAGATAGATATAACGAAAATAACCATGTGTATTAATTTTTAATCTGATAAAATATACGAATTGTACAAACTTTCGCGGCTATCTAAATTACACACACTATTATTTGTATTATATCAGTAAACAGCACTATATTATTGAATGTGAATATTGTCGTAAGAGTCCCTCAAATATTAGTGCCTAATAAAGAGTACCTACATACGTTAAAAATATTATTAATTTGAACAGCGACTGCCATGAAAAGTTCCAAGGCATCAAATGGAAGAATTAATGGAAGCCGTTTATAAATTGTAAATTTAATTATAGTATAAAACGACAATAAACAATCAGTCGCACACAAGTTCTTTTAAATGCATTTTCATGTGTCATACATTAGTTCAGCTAATCGCCGCTAGGGAATCTTATTCCCCAATACAAAGACAAAGAAATTCCGTCAATATTCGTCATGTAATATCTAAATATAGATTTCCGTTTAATTTTTGAAGTCACGCTACTACGAAAATAAAGTTGAAATATGTGATATATCTATTTATAGAAAATGCGTTGGTCCGACAATGTTTTTGCTTGTTTTTGTATACTAAAATGTCATTGTTTGTTTAATTAGAATACTGAATACCAAATATGTTTTAACATTTTGTAAACATGTATCGGGAACATCGTCCTCCCTATTTCTGTCACGAAGTCATCATGGGCTCGGTTTTGGAGGGTAAGATATTCTAATGCGGTTCAGAATCCTGGGTCAAGATTGGCTGGCGAAGGTCACTGTTAGTCTATAGACTCGGATAACTGCTTAAGAACAAGTGAACCGTAAGCTCTTCTGCTAGCTATACAAAAATTGTTCAAAAATTGACAGCATTCTATCTCGTACACAAACACACTTGTTTTATGATAACAACTAATTCAATTAAATAAAATTATTTAACTAGGACACTGGTGAATTACATAATAGATACATCTAATTAGTACGCCGCGAGTATCTGCAGGCCATTTACAGTGAATAGGTACTTCAATCGCTAGCGAGTTTAACAAACAAACGATTGTCATTAGTCACGCTAGACTTCGTAATGGACCAAGGGTCTTTGAACGTAATTAAAAATTTCAACAATCGTAACTGTTCAACTAGACGTCCACGATATCTAAAATTTTATTGATCTAATTCGTCCGTAAATTATTATCTCCGAAACGTCATTAGCACATGTGCCTCTCTATATGCATATATTATAGTAATACGAATGTTTGTACCTACTCATACCACAAAAGCGACGATTATCACCGGTAAGAACTAAAAACAGGGCAAAAAGTAAACAATCTCCCCAACAATAAATAATGACGATGTAGGTAGTTAAGGAGCAGATTCTGTATCAGAAAAAAAAAAAAACCTATGGTAAAAATAAACTTTATCGAAACGCAAACATAGTTGACCCTTTTTCGAAATTTACATTCAAATCGATTCACGATAATTAAAACAAAACAATGTGGTTAGCGTAAATAATGCGAGTAACCACCCTCAGACACAGCCCACTGAGCTTCTCGCCGGATCTTCTCAGTGGGTCGCGTTTCCGATCCGGTGGTAGATTCTGCGAAGCACTGCTCTTGCTAGGGTTCGTGTTAGCAACGTCGTCAGATTTGAGCCCCGTGAGCTCACCTACTAGTTAAAGTTACGCTGATATAGCCTCTAAAGGCTCTCAGCTTAGGTAGGAAAAAAAAAAGCGAGCACCAAATAAACATGATGATAAATTTCGTTCAAACAAGTTATCGTGTGCAAAAATAAATACATTATAAACTGCTTAAAACATACTCGTTTACAGTATTAGAATTTTAAAATATATGTTTTGTTTTATTTAAAATGCGATATGAAACATTTTGATAAAACTGTTTCGGTATTTCAATTTTGCTACGAAATACGAAAGTTTATATCAGCAAGGATGGCATTCGACGGTACCATAAACCATTACACTACTCACTTATTTTTCCCACCTATACTGATAGCCTTGAGAGGCTATTTTTTTTTATTTTTTTTTTTATTGCTTAGATGGATGGACGAGCTCACAGCCCACCTGGTGTTAAGTAGTTACTGGAGCCCATAGACATCTACGACGTAAATGCCACCACCCACCTTGAGATATGAGTTTTAAGTTGTCAGTATAGTTACAACGGCTGCCCCCCCCCCCTTCAAACCGAAACCCATTACTGCTTCACGGCAGAAATAGGTAGGGTGATGGTACCTACCCGTGCAGACTCACAAGATGTATCAGCGTAACTTTAACTAGTAGGTGAGACCTCGGGGCTCAAACCATTAGGTGTTGCTAACACTGGCCCTAGCAAGAGCAATGCTTCGCAGAATCTACCACCGGATCGGAAACGCGACCCACTCAAAAGATCCAGCAAGAAACTCAGTGGGCTGTGTCGGTGGGTTAATTTACTCGCCGAGCCCTTCGTCGCAAACGACGGGTTCGACGAGAACTTTGACCGGTGCTTGTCGTACCTAAAAGCACTGTTTATGGATCGGGAGGATCCGTAATGACGTGTTTAGGGCTTGAGGTATACGTACGTACGTATTGTTGCTAAAATCGCTCAGGGCTATCAGCATAGGTAGGAGGAAAAAAAACTATACTCAAGTGTCCGATGCTGAGAAATCTATGAATTTTCATAAATTAAAACTACTTACCCAATAAACGTGCAAGATACGCACACGATCCCAATGCTGAGCATATAAAAAGCCGCCGGGAATGTTGATATCGTGCATTCGTATAAGGAATTGTACAGAAGCGGAGACAGTAAAGGGCATAAGCCCTCAATAGCCGACATTAGCGCGAATACTTTAGCGATATCAGTGATAGGCAGTATTTTCGTCAATAACGACCTCAATAGCGGTGACGATAGCCCTTTGAACAACGATATAGTGGAACCTGCAATATAAATTTGAACTCAATCATTCAAACACTAAAATTCACAATAGATTGATGAGTATTCCTTTATTATTTTGTCTTATCTAGCCATACAGCTACGCCGATATTAACGAAAAATAATTATTTGATTAATGTAATAATATATGTTGAAACACGATTCGATGTAACAAAATGTAATCGTTTAATGAGTTATGTCTTGTATTTTAATGTTCTTTAATAAAAAGTAGTAGAAAATTTCATTAAATGTATGTTCAGATTGAACACGATAATTCATTGACGTAAATACATAGCTTGTTTGTTAGAGAGTGACATACATAAATCTGGTAAAAATTGGGGTATCATTATTTCAGAATGATTAAATTTAACATCGGTGAATGTAAATGGGTGTTCGACCTCACGATCTACTTGATTAGCAGAGCCCATACCGGAGTGAATACCGCCACACACTGATAGAGATATGAGAGCCAAATTTTGTTGTAAAACAGCTGTCCATTGTTCAGATTCGAATGTATAATTAATTGGTGGATTAATTATGCAGGATTATGGTACTTAGCCGTTAGGGCTTATAATACTAGTAAAGGCCGATTGGTGATCGCAGTACGTTGGTATAGTATTCAAGGGATGCTACTGTGTATTCTCCGGTGAATCAATTGAACAAACACACACACACACACACACACACACACACACACACACACACACACGCACGCACGCACGCACGCACACACACACACACACACAAACAAACACATACATCGAATACATCGAAATTAGTGTTGCAAAGAAGCCAGTAGCCGCTAACCTGCATATTATATAGCTATTCAAGGCTAGGACACCAATTATGCAAATGTAATTGAGGATGTCTCGAGATGGGCGGTAGAAGAATCAGATGAAAAAAAAAAAGAAATAACGACTTACTTAGAGCAAGAAGTAGACCTAAGAAGAAATGGATAGATTGCGTGAAAGACGATATGTGTAAAGGGGGAGTGAGCGAAGAAATGGTATATGATAGAGGAGTATCGAAAGAGAAAACATGTTACGCCGACCCCAGGTGACTGGGAGAATGGTAGGAGAATTATGATAAACGACTTACTCAAATACATATGCCACGTTGAAACTGCCAGCGCTTTCACGACGTACTCGACGATCATCGAGAGATAAGCGACGTTCACGAAGGCCAGATCGCCGATCTTCAGTAACTTCTGCACAACTATAATGCCCAAGAAACCGCCCGCGAACGANAGAAAAGAAATAACGACTTACTTAGAGCAAGAAGTAGACCTAAGAAGAAATGGATAGATTGCGTGAAAGACGATATGTGTAAAGGGGGAGTGAGCGAAGAAATGGTATATGATAGAGGAGTATCGAAAGAGAAAACATGTTACGCCGACCCCAGGTGACTGGGAGAATGGTAGGAGAATTATGATAAACGACTTACTCAAATACATATGCCACGTTGAAACTGCCAGCGCTTTCACGACGTACTCGACGATCATCGAGAGATAAGCGACGTTCACGAAGGCCAGATCGCCGATCTTCAGTAACTTCTGCACAACTATAATGCCCAAGAAACCGCCCGCGAACGATATCGTCGTGCTCAAGGCCGAATATAACGTGTAGTCTTTCAGAGCCCAGCGCAGTTTCTCTCTCGTGTACAGATATTCCAAATTCATGGAACCGTATAATATGAATATCGTTAGGCTGTTCGCAACGGTGAGGAGCAGGATCTGTGCTCTACCGAAGTTAGGCCGTTTCTTGAAACATTCGCGTGCCATCTGTTTCACTAAAGACCAATCTAATAGGGTACCGAGCCGCCCCTAAAACAATGCTATTAATAAGACGACTCTTTGCTAACAACATATCAGTATATGGCAATACCATATCATTATAAGGCAATAACCATATCATTATATGGCACCACCATATCATTATATGGGACCACCAAGCCGCTCTGATGACGAACTTGGAAAGCGAGCCTCGAAGATTTTGCATGAGCTGTTCTATTACTGCACTATGCGGTTTACCGGAGATCATAGACTTCTGAAGATTATTGCCCCACCAACCTTGAGACATGAGGTCAAAGTTGCAATTGTACTGTAAAACAGCTGCTGCTGTTGCACTCTGCAAACTAGAACGCATGATTTTACAGCAGAAATACGAAAGGATGACCACAATTATGATCACAATACAATAAGAATATTTATTTTTTTACTAATTAATTTTTTGATGGATAAGCAGGATAAATAAGAGAACACATTCCATGATTGCCGACCGCACCTCTCATTTTGGGCGGCAATAACATTTTGGTGTCCAAAGGCTTCGACAGACAGTTAACACGAAACGGACTGGACCTACGTCATACAGCAATAATAATAAAAAAACGATGCGTGCTTAATCTCCAACTCTATAAGTACTAGAAACTTCCTCATCATCCGTCAATAGTTGTGATATCTTCTACGAACAAATAATTGTTAAATTTAATTTCACCTGTATAGCTCCTTCCAATGATTCCCTTAGAAATATATTTGTAAAGGCGTACGCAAATACATTTAAAGATGCTCCTATCAACAGTAAATACACATTCCCGACGGCCCTAAGCAAAGGGGCACTAAATAGTCCTCCCAGTACGCTTCCAGCAGAAACAGATGCCCCCAGTATAGTCATTCTACAATAGGAAATTTCAACCACGTTAATCCATTGAACTTTAGGTATTCGAAGGGCCTTTTCAACCATTCGGTCTTCAACTAATTATAATTTAATTTCAAATAAAACTTATCAGGTACGATGCGCTACATTTATTGACCAACGTCAAATAAATCTTATTAATTTAACAATACGGCTGCCCCACCCTTGAAACTGGAATGTATAAACATTTCGCAGCAGAAATAGACATAGAGGTGCCTCCAGTGCGATCCCATAATACACCCTACTATATACCAGGAATTACGCAAATTCATTCATTTTTTTTTTATTGCTTAAATGGTTGGACGAGCTCACAGCCCACCTGATATTAAGTGGTTAATGGATCCCATACACATCTACAACGTAAACGCGCCACCCACCTTGAGATATAAGTTCTAAGGTCTCAGTATAGTTACAACGGCTGCCCCACCCTTCAAACCGAAATGCATTACTGCTCCACGGCAGAAATAGGCAAGGCGGTGGTACCCACCCGCCCGAACTCGCAAGAGGTCCTACCACCAGTAATTTACCATCGAAGACCTTCATAAGCAATCAAGTAAGTTTTCCTTAGAACCTGTCTGTGGAATTTTAACACTGACATAATCGCATCGCTTCATACCGGGCGACTTAGCCTTTAGGCCACGACGACTTCGCTATGTAGCTGGGCCCAAAGCAAAGTAAAAAAGCATTAGTAGGATTGGTCCGCAAATACAAAAGTTCTATACAAGTACAATTTTACAGTTTGCAAACTATTATTATAGGCATTTGTTTAAGATTAGCAATGAAAACAGGTAACGTCAAAACGGTTATTACCTAAGGGATCTGTTCTCCGGGGATGTGACGTCACTTACGTAACAAAAAGCTCCAGTAAACAATATGATCATGCCGCCGGTCAGCGAATATGGAACGGCAGTTACTATCAACCACCAAGGGCCTAAGTCGTTCATAGTGCTATACACCACCAGCATCATTCCAGTCATTGCCATGCCTAAAACACACTTCAATGTATTTATTACGAATCGTTTTTAAACTAATTTAATTATATTTTTGCCCTTGTAGGCTTACGAGCACACGGCCCACCTGATGGTGAGTGGTTACCGTCGCCCATGGACTTCAGCAATGCCAGGGGCAGAGCCGGGCCGCTGCCTACCGCTTAATACTGTCCACAAGCCTCATTTGAAGAAGGACATGTCATAGCTCGGGACCGTTGAGGAGAGCTCATTCCATAGCCGGAAGGTACGTGGCAAAATAGACCTCTGGAAACGCACTGTGAATGACGGCAGTGGCTCCAGGAATTTTTTTTATTCCAGGTAGTGGGTTAGGTTGACGGGAGATTTTTTATTTTTTTTATTGCTTAGATTGGTGGACGAGCTTACAGCCCACCTGTTGTTAAGTGGTTACTGGAGTCCATAGGCATCTAGGACGTAAATGTGCCACCCACCTTGAGATATAAGTTCTAAGGTCCCAAGTATAGTTACAACGGCTGCCCACCCTTCAAACCGAAACGCGTTACTGCTTCACGGCAGAAATAGGCAGGATGGTGGTATCTACCCGCGCGGACTCACAAGAGGTCCTACCACCAGTAAAATCACGCGATCACGCGAAAAGACCTTCTCAAAGAAAAGATTGAAAAAAACCTAGACCCACATCTAGTGTTTGTTTCATTTTAATCGTTTGACTAATACCTAGGTATATCACATAACTGTTTACTCAATACCATACGTAGATTAAAATATACTGTACCTAAATGTAATCTAAAGTGTATATCATTGCAGGCGACGAAGGTCATCACACGGCTTAAATAAAATTTGAACTCCAAATTCAATACGACATATGCAATTTACGACACACCTTAAATGCACGATGCATTTTATTTTTAAATCTGATAACAAGACCGAACGGGTTCAGGGCGTAACTAAAGTCAAAGGTTTTTTTTTTGTATTTTTGAGGATACCGGTTCTGAAAACCTTCAATTAACTTAAGTTATTTTTTAATCGATCTTTAATTCTGACACGAAGATACCTTTAAAATAGCTTTTAGTATGATCAGAGGATCTCACAATGAATGATAACAGCTAGTAATATTATTTATTGCGGACAATGTGTGAAAGCTTTTTTTTCCACGGAAGCAAATCGCCGGATCCCCACCCGCGCGGCAAGTGGGATATGTGGGAGTTGAACCTCACTAAAAACTCCTGCCGCTCACAGCCGGCGCCCTACCCCAAACCGGGCCGAGGCCCAGTCGGGGCTATTGAGACGCGGGACAAGGTTGAACAATGTGAGAGGTCTAGAGCTAGCTAGAGATATATGTACTATCAAAATTATAAAATGTAATTCCTTATTGCTCCGTGGTAGAAATAAGCGAAATGGAGGTGCCGACCGCCACAACACGATCTGCCACAAGTACATCGAGCAAGATTATTTATTACATTACATAGATTACACGACATCATCCCCTCATACTAAAAATGGTCTTTAACATGCGATAGTTACTTATATTACCACGGCATAATCGCTGTGAGAACACCGAGCCTTTACTTAGCCTACTTAAGCAGAACGAAAGGAGACACCCCATTCTGGGCCTAAGCGTTACACGAATGGGATATATACCAAAAAATTCGTCTCTTTTGCTTGATTAACCTATTGAAATCTTAGCTTCATTGACAATGGCCAAGTGTAGAAAATAAGTTGAATCCAATTTTTTGTTTTAAACAATCTTTGTAAACATCTGCAACACTTATTTCAATATACGTAACTAGCTCCACAAACGGGCGGATTAGAATTAGAGCATCCATAAAATAGGATCGATTTAGTGGAAATCGAGTGTAAAAAATAATTAATACTCTTTTGCTTTAGGATAAATGACTGTTTTTATAGGTATTTTAATAAATGTAAATAGAGTATGGCCATCGAATCGTGACACAACTACTTACAATGGCGGCAATTCAAAATATCTACAACTGACAACATTAAATATGGCATGAAAGGGTAGTTTTGCATTTACGTCGTAGATGTCTATGGGCTCCAGTAACCACTTAACATCAGGTGGGCTGTGAACTCGTCCACCCATCTAAGGAATAAAAAATAAAAATAAAAAAGGCATGAAATAAAATGAAATGAAATGTGATGAGATAATATGGGAGCACGTAATGATTTATATTTTATATAAAAAAGTTATCATATAAATATAGTTTTTCATATAAAAAAAAATCATTTCGTGCGCAGCGCGTTTCGCATTACGTTGTTTTTATTTTTGGCTTTCGTTCGTTTTCGTAAACAACCTAATGCGCGATTTCTCGTAACAGGTTCCATTTTTATTTTCAAGCAACCTGTTGTTGCAACAGGTTTCGTAAACAATTACTCATCTTTAGTAGGAAACAGTTAAAAAAATATCGTTTTTATTAAAATATCTCGAACAATAAACATAACCTAAAATGTAAACATTGTCTGATTTTACCAATTTGGCCATTGCTGGGAGACCTGAAAATTGGACTCATGAAACCTTCTTAGGTATTGTAACTTATGCCCAAATTCTAGCACTGTAACGCCAGGCCCAAGTTTGTATGGATTTCGGGTTTGTCCTTTTAATGATTAGGGAACGTACCCATACTACGTCACAGGAGCGGGGGGGTGGCTCAGGTTTTTGTCACGTAGTCGATTTTAGTCAGAGAAATCTCGTATTTTTTCGACCTATATTCGAATATAGCGCGCAGTGTTTAGCGCTTTGTAAACTCACACTACATAATTCACTAGTAATTTAAATGTGTATGCAGTCTTATGCAATACAGACGAGTATGAACCAAATTATTATTATTTTTCAATTTTTGCGTGTGAAATGATTAAAAATCATAATTATGAATCGCTACGTGAAAACTAAAGGGGGAGAGGGGGGGTCTTGGCATATACTACGAGTGATCACCGAAGGGAGGGAGAGGTCGAAAAAACTAAAAAAATTGGTCACGTAGTATGGTTCGTTCCCTTATGTTTTATGATATAAAATGTACCGGTATTTTGAGTGCTAAATTAATGTTCAATGATAAAATGTTGCCATATACGTTTTTAATAAAATGCTTTCGCTTATATTATACTTATATAGACCGCAGGTTGCCCATGCGATGGACTGACCAATTCATGTCAGCAGTTGGTGTTTGTTTGCATGGGTGTACCAGGCTCACCACAAAACGAAGAGAAGTGGCGATTACTCGTGAGGCGCATAAAATCTACCCACAGCAATGATGTCTCCACACGTCATTACGGAACCTCTCGATCCATTAACGGTGCTTTTAGGTACCACAAGCACCTGTCACCGTACTCGTCGAACCCGTCGCTTGTGACGAAGGGCTCGACGAGCGAATTAACCCATAGACACAGCCCACTGAGTTTCTCGCCGGATCATCTCAGTGGGTCGCGTTTCCGATCTGGTAGTAGATTCTGCGAAGCACTGCTCTTGTTAGGGCCAGTGTTAGCATCACTCCGGTTTGAGCCCCGTGAGCTCACCTACACGTTAGGGTGAAGCTGAAATAGCCTCTCAAGGCTATTAGCATAGGTAGGAAAAAAATTTATACTGAATGACGACCACGACCGACAAGAGTGATACGACAAAAGATTATATTATACGTACTCACCAAGAAGTGGCCATACAACCAGAGGTTTTCTACCGTGGGTATCAGACCACACACCCATAAATAGAGATAAAACTGCCGGTGCAACCGCTTCTATTATACTCCTTACTGTATTCACTACGGTCGCGTATCTCTGCACTTCTTTTTCTAATTCATCTGTTTGGTTCGTCTTGTCGAGTGCAAGAAAAACCTTACACACAGAGTCTGGATGGTTCAAACTATGCAAGCATGTCCTGTATAGTAAAATGTTGCTAACAGCAGCGCCTAAAATAATATTATTGATTTAAGAATACACATAGAGAAAATAATATTTTTACTTAGCTTAATCCGTTTTTTTACTGTAATTTTTTTGCTACCTACTCGCTAGTAACCAAAGGGGCTATTCTAGCTACGCGCGGAGGGGTTCGGTGAACTCGCCGGTTCAATCTGTGAGAATTAATGAACAGCAGCCCTACCAAGGGCAGTGCCTCGCAGAAACTACCACCGAATCGGAATCGCGACCCACTGAGAAGATCCAGCGTGAAACTCAGTGGGTTAGTACTATCTCAATAGAAAGCTAAAAATAAAAACAGCCAATCAATGAAAACAAGATAAAAAAAAATTCAGAAACGTACTTTACGTTGTAATGGTTTAAAGTTTAAAAGTGCGATATTGTATAATGAAATTAACATTCCGGGGTTAATTCTAGATTCTATACAGCAACATGGGCTACGGAAAACGAAACAGAAGAGAACAGTGCATTCCCCACTCGCGCTCACGATTATCTTTTAACTATGATAACTTGGAACCTATTAGCCCATTAAAATTTCTACAACTCGCGTATATTAATTACGATTTTATTTTATTACAATACCGTAGTCAACTAACCTATGCAGTAAGAAGCATGTAATACTTGACAATTCCGTCAGGTTTTCGAGTTTGTAAGAATTACGATCCGACATAGCATCCCTTTTTTTCCTGCAGGTTTAAATGGTGAAAGCGTTTTTTTTTGACATCAAAGACAGTGGAGGTTTCATGTGATCGTAACTGGCTGCAGTCGCTCATAAAAATAACCAGGAACAAGATGGGTATTTATAATTTATAAATAGTGGTTCTGGCAACAATACACCCTCTTTGGCTATTCAGATTCTACCCTGACGTAATTCGACCACACCACTATCTGCACCACAAACCATCATTTTCTGATTTTCTTTTGTCCAAATAAAATAGAAGGTATTATATGTCACAAAAAAGTTTTTGATATAGGTATATTAAAATATTCTGCCACATTAATAATTAAATAACACCTCTACATTGATGATTTAATTCATTTATACTTGATTTTCATTCTGTGCAGACCAATAACATATTTATATTAGCACTAGTATATATAATTTTTTTTTTTTTTTTTTTAAAACAATCACGCCACGTTAACTGGTCCCGTGATAAGTTCGTAAAGAACTTGTGTTACAGGTACCAAATAATGGATATAAATGTAAGATTTTTATTATACACATACATATATTTAATAGATATCCATAACCCTGGAAAAGACACTTATATTTATCACACAAATATCTTCCCTTGGCGGGATTCGAACCTGCGACCCCCTTGTGTAGTGACCATGTCACTTACCACTACACCAGACGGCCGTTATTTGTATATCACACAAATATTTTTAATTAAATTAAAAAAAAACCTTGGTTTGATCATATGCAAAATTAACAATGGTTATTCCTATAGCTTTTCTCGCAAGTTAAATTCAGTATTAATAATGAATAAATTAAAAGTTTTCTTGTAAAAGTTGTTGAAGTGCTTATATAAATGCTTAGTTTCCAATTACCTAATAAAAGACCTGATAATTATTTAATTACCTGTTAATGACAAGCTTAGCATGGTTAGGCACATTGGAACTTCCATAGTCAAGTGGAATTTTCTTGGTGTATTTTGGACCATAGACCTGACTGCTGACCCATTTTCCAGATGATGATTCTCAATTTCAGTCATTACACTTAGATCTAAATGAAAATAAATTTAGTCTTAAAAACAATATAGCTCAACATTAAAATTGAACTGAATGCACACAATGTGATGAACAATTTTACACACTTACTAAAAAATTACCTTATTAGATATACTGAACTTAAAAATATTGTTGTTAAATTTTTATCTACCGAAATAATGCAGCCTTGTTTTTATTTGTTTATATCAAAAATCAGAAGGCGGCAGCAAGCAGTGGGCCTTATAATTCTAGTTAATCAACAGTTAATATTTTTATTTCATTTAATCTCACATAATTTTTTTTATTTTTATAAATTATTGTTTTTATTTTATTCAATAATTACTAATGATAAGTTTGCAGTGGCTCGAACCACGTATCAGTGATATTACTAAAGCACTTCTAAAACAACCAATGAAGGGGATACAGTTTCCACTATCTTGCAAATCTTATTAATGTTTGATGGAGTATAATCCACACGATCCAATGTTTACCAGACACACGACCAAACTAATCACCATAAATATTAACAGAAGAACTAAGTATTTAATTGTCTTACAAAACAACAAAGCAATGTTTGCGTGATCATAAATGAATATTGTGTTAATAAAATTATTACGTTTGCTAATTTTTTCACATCACACGGCAAAATTTGAAAACGTTTATTTTCCCGCGATGGATCATCCGGAATGAATTTGTTCACTGTAAGTTTAACAAAGTTGGTTTTTTTTCGTTTTGTCCTCCTACATGACCATAGATTATACACTTAATATATTAGAGATAGATGCGCAACTCTCATTTTTATTTTTGCTTTAGTTAAAGCCCGGTCCAGCAGGCGTCGCTACGGTCGATTATTAGTCTCCCTACCCCCCACCAGGTGGCTTTTTCAGTAATTTTAATATTTTTAATAACTCTCTTTATGAAAAAATCTTATCGTTTAGAATCGCTGAAATTCCCGGTATTACTTATGAGATATTAAGGAATGTTTGATTGTGTTCAGCATTCTAATCGATAAGATCTTTTCATACAGAGAGAAAACAGTTTTTTAAAATAAAAAGCTGTAATTCTCTGTAAGCTATTTAATTTCCCTATATTACAAACAATTTTCTGTTAAAAGATTGTATGAACGTACAATTGTATAAAATTTCGAATAACAATAACTCCTCTAGATTAATCCTACTAGCGTACACATTAAATCGAAAGTTATCTAAAAGTTAATTAAGTCTAGATAATCAAATCATTCAATGTCAATTAAGTCATTTGTGCGAAATATAAACATGTCAGCTTTCCATTACAAACATAGTAGACAATTTGAATTAAATTTAATAAATTTGTTTCTTAACGATAGCAGTTCTTGCTTAAAGTTGATCGTGACAGATCAT